GCGGCTGATGTGCGGGTGGCCCCCCCCCCCCCCCCCGCCGAGGGGGGGGTCTCCCCCCCAGGGGGTCCCTCCCCAGGGGGGGCCAGGCCCTCTACTGTATCTTTTAAAGTTCTTTTCTAAAAGCATTGCCTGCGCTCTAGCCATAAAACTCATTTTTAAAGGAATGTTTAGTTATTTTGTTGAATAAACAAATGCATAGGTCTCTGTATAAGGGAAAGGAAAAGTAATATATCCCAAAAAGAAGTGGCTATACAAAATAAACTGATTCAAAAAAACAATAAGAGAATTCGTGAAGGAACATACATCTTTTGCTTTTTGGTGTGGAATCCCATGAGCATGGCACAGATGAATTGGGAAACAAGTTTCTACATTCTGCCTCCTATGTCCTTGGCTTTAGTTGGAATCCTTCCTCCAAGTTTGTCCACCTGTCTTCTTTTTGGTGTATTTCAGTGTGACCTTACCTAACATTGCATCGGGAACTTGAATAAATGAAGCTATTACTTCTTCTTCTCCATTATTCATGATATTACATACTCAGGTCCTATCACGTCCTAAAATAAAAATAGTCTCTAACAATAGTCTAGGAGCTCATGGTCTGTGAAACACTTCTGTCTATCTAATCTCACTCAGTCCTCACAGTGGCCCTCTGGCTTAGACAGAGTGAGTATCATGCCCTTTTTATGGATAAGTAACTTCAACTGCAAGACATTTCTCAGAGTGCCGGGGGCAGGAGAACTGGGATCCATGCCCATGTCACTTGTTCTATACTCTGTGTTCTTTCCCTTTGGCCACACAGCTTCTGCCTAGCAACATAGCTCACTTTTCCCCAGGGGCTTTGCACATTTACAAAGGAATGGGATCCAAGGTAGCTTTCTATCAACTGCCATCCCCCTTGCCTGCTCTCCCCTTAATGGCATAAATATTTTTATCTCTGGGCTGTTTTCCACTCCAAGCTTTATGTCCACATAGCAAGTCATTAAATCTAAAACTGGGCCAGATGGTGGTCTAGGGGCAACACAACTGGACCTACATGGGAAGGTCCTGGGTTTGTGTCCTGTGTGCCTGTGATCCAGGCTGGCTGAGGCTAGGGTGAATCATGGCGTGAAGACCCCACTGGGTTTACTCCTTCTCTCTCTCTCATCCTCTCTCTCTCTCTCATAAGAAGTGAATCAGTAAATTAAAATCTAAGACTCAGTAGTAGTCAGTGGGGTGGCCACTACCTTGACTTTATGCACCAACCCTCTTTGATTCTTTTTTTTTTTTTTGGAGAGGTTTTTGTGAGAGGGGCCAGACAGACAGAGAGAGACATAGAAACAGAAAGCGAGAAATCACCCCCCGGGGGGATGGTCACGCCGCCATCCCTGCTCCTCCATTCTCCTCTCGGGATCGTGGGCATGCATGAACACACGCCTGGTGTGAGTTTTAAGCCACCTGGTCCAGGACGCGAACCGTGGTCGACTACATGGGAGTACAGTGACATAGCCATTATGCTAACTGCTGGTTCCCCCCTCTTTGATTCTTGTGAACTCATTACTTTAGTGTAGGAGCTGTGTGTAGCCTCCTCAACAGAACCGACTGCCAACAACACATGCAGGCCCTGCTGTAATTAAGTATTGATTTCATGTAACACATGTATACAGAGAAAGCTCATCTCATTTGTGGGCTGTTGTTATCTGTCAGTAGAACAAAATGTGTGATTATCAGTGGATGTTGTATGGTATCCGATGGTGAACTGTAACCTCTCATTGATCTCATTGTGGAGACGTTATGGTACGCC